TACCTTTCAATACGATTCGAATTGAATTTTAGTTGAATTGAGTAATTAAAAATTCACTGCTAACTACATCCCGATCTTCCTCCGAACACCAGCCAACCAACAGCCAACCATGGCCGAACCTCTCGTCCATAGCAGTGTAAAAGTAAAAGTTAAAGTGACTGAAAAGTTAAACATTTTGAAACATTCGGCTGGCGTAATTGTAGCAGACTTTCCCCAGACACCAGCCAACCACAGCCGACTGCTCCGACCTAAACCATGGTTCGGGGGAGTTCGGCTAGTGTTCGGGAGGCCATTGCCGAACATGGTCTCCCGAACACTGCCGAACTCCCCCAAACTATGGTTAGTGGCAGGCCGAGAGCAGGAAGAAGAGGACTACTTTAGCATAGTCTCACACCAACCGAACTTTGGACAACATCCATAGTCTGGAAGAAAATGCTGAAAACCAAACACTTGGCACGATAGGTGCTCAAAATTACACGAGCATCGCACTGCCTTTGGCTTCAAAAAAATAACAATTAACTACTCACTTTTTCTCTTGCTGTTGCTGTGAACTACCACTTCAGTGCCACACCGCTCATTGCAGGAAGGTAGACAACTTGACAAGACCGAAGCTTTCCTCTCAACTTGGTCTGTTAAACATTGAAATGCTGGAGTTTCCTTGTAGAACCATGACTCATTCATCCTGTGCTGTATATAATCCCAGTGCGTGGGAGAGGTCTTGTCACGTTGGCGGTTTTTATCAGTGGGTGGTTTCCCGACATATTCTGAGCTCTATATTTTTGTAAGCGCAACTGCCAAATCGTCAAAACAGATCTTTCATTAATAAAAGGTAAAAGATAAGATACATAGGTACACTGTTTTCACAATGTTTTAGCAATTAATTAGAAAATCAATTAATAAATGTTATAAATTGTTTTTATGAATAATAAATGGTTTATTGGCCAAACATCACCCGTGCAATCGCAGCCTTATAGTGCTGAATTAACTAGCTGCCAAACATTATTTTCTAAAGGGTGACTTCAATACAATGTATATTTAACAGGTGCAGCAGGAGCTTGATGCCGTTGTTGGTGAGAGTCTGGCCACCTTGTCCCACCGTTCCCAGCTGCCCTACGTGAACGCCTGTCTGCTGGAGGTCATGAGGATCCGGCCTGTCGGACCTCTGGCGGTTCCCCACGCCCCCACAGAGACCGTCAAAGTGCGGGAATACGATATCCCCAAGGGAACCCAGGTATTGCTACGCTTCAGAAGGCTACGGATTCCCGTTTTTAGTTAGGGTATGACAAAATCAAAAAAGAAACTAGAAAACTAGACAGGGGAGACAAGAGACTTCTTAACTATTTTCCTTTTCTTTGTAACTTTTCGACGTTACTTATTATGTAATACATAAACAAAGGAAAGACGACAGAAAAGGGACTCCTTGCAAAAGTGAGGTTACAAAAATGCCCCTTTCATAAAAAAGGGGACCACACGACTGAGAGTCAACTACAATGTATGTCACCATGTGGCTTTCCTTGTCAGTAAGGATTAAAGACGAGCTGAAATATTACTAAACACGTTATGTTCGCAGATTGTGTGTATCGACGTATTTTCTATTTTGTTTGATCCAGGTACTGCCGAACCTGTACTCCCTCCACATGGACCCCGCCTACTGGCCTGATCCGGACCGGTTTGACCCCGGAAGGTTTCTGGAAGTGGAAGGAAACGTCGTCAACAAGCCTGAGTCCTTCATGCCGTTTTCAGGAGGTAAGGCTTCAAGAGATGATTCTTGGAACCGCAGTAATTATTACTTTATAGTTATGTTTACCGAAGGAAAACATATTGTTTTCACTCGATCAGTTTCATCCTCCTCTTCTGTTCCAAACACTAACCTCTGACCTGGCCAATGACATGATTTGTTGACGTCTGTCACCATGGTGACTGGTGTTGGGTTACATAATGTTGCAATTTCATGGTCTGCTCTACTCCTGTCACCATATACTAGTAGTACATGTATGTGAATGTGTTTGTGTAAGAATTAACAGGGCAGACCATGTCCGAAGGTAAACTTTATGCATTTGCATTGCAAATGTTACTTCTCTAGTTTCTATTCGATTGTGGCTGCTCTCACAACTTGGCATTCTTCATTTCCAGGCCGACGCGTGTGTCTCGGGGAGCAGCTGGCCAGGATGGAACTTTTCCTGGTCTTCTCGACCCTGCTGCAGTCCTTCACCTTCAGGACGCCAGAGGGCGCTCCTCCTCCAACCACTGACGGCGTCCTTGGTCTGACGTTGACGCCGCATCCGTTAAACTTTGTGCGATCCCGCGTTAGTTTTATTACCTTCGCCAAGAATTGGAGAAGGTTATGTTTTCCTGGCCGTCTGTGTGTGTGTGTGTCTGTGTGTGTGTCTGTCAACAGCATAACTCGAGAAAGCTTAGATGGATTATCTTGATATTTGGTAGGTCGGTAGGTCTTGATGAGAGCTCGAACTGATTAGATTTTGGGCCCCCTGGCGGCTTTTTATGGTACTGCAGCTGAACTTCCGGTATTGATATCTCATGATCCAGACATGCTAGGGTGACGAAATTTGCATGGTAGGTAGCTCTTGTGCTGGGGAAGAAGTGACACGAGTTTGGGCCCCCTAGCTGCTTGCTCTGGAACTGCAGGGGCGTTAGTTGAAAAATGTTTAAAGGCTGATAACTCAAGAACCGGTGGATGGATCGTCATGTAGGTAGCTGAAGTGATGCTTGACATATTGATATTACAATTATGCAAATATTAATGTAATTTGCATAATTAATGAGGAAAGTCTATTAATCAGCTGCATTCCATGATAGGACTATTCAAGCATGTGTCATACGTAATTGAGAACGGCAGAAATACAGGCAGATATCAATTATGCAAATGAGGACTTAATTTGCATAATTAATGAGAAAATGTTATAATTACATAGTGGTAACTGCCTGGAATTTCATACTTGGGATATTTG